AAATGCTGATTTCACCTAGATTACTTCTGAGGAGTGAACAGGACCAAAAGAGGGAGAGAAAAAAAACTAGTATACCGATTAAATATTTTGTTCCTGATATATTTTCCACTTCACTAGAATCCAGGTCTCCTATTCAACCAAACCTTCATCTGTTAGATCAGGTTCCCAATCTCAGCACTACTGACATTTTGTACCAGATAATTATTATTTTTGTTAATCCTCACCCAAGGATTTTTTTTCCCATTGATTTTTAGAGAGAGTGGAAGGGAAGGGGAGAGACAGAGAGAGAGAAACATCGATGTGAGAGACATCAATTGGTTGCCTCCCACACACACCCCAACTGGGGATGGGGATCAAACCTGCAACTGAGGTATGTCCCTGGATCAGAATTGAACCCGAGACCCTTCAGTCCATGGGCCGACGCTCTAACCACTGTCCCAAACCAGTTAGAGCCAGATAATTCTTTTTGTGGGGGGCTGCCCTAAGCATTGTAAGATACTTAGCAGCACCCTGGCTTCTACCCACTTGCCAGTAGCACACCCCCCTCTACCCGCATCTGTGACAAGCAAAGACGTCTCAACATTGCCAAATGCCCCCTAAGGAAGCAAAATCACTCCTGGTTGAGAATTACTGTGTTAGTTTAATACCAAATGAGGCTAATTTAGCTCTCTTTATTGTATAAATTTTGTTCTTAAAGACTTTTAGTTTTATAGATTCAAAAAAGTTGGGGTATTAAGCAGATGCTATTTGCACAAACGAAATGCCCAGGAGTCACCACTAAGTTCTCTCATTCCCTCACTCCTCCACCCAATATATCAGCATTCGTTTTCCATCCAAACTTTGTCCCTCATTCATTAATGTTTTTCCATCTCATCATGTCAATGATAACACCAAATCTAAGCCACCTCTCACCTCACCTTCTGCCATAGCCTCCTATGTGGTTTCACCACTTTCATTCTTGTCCCCTTACAATCACCACAATCTAGTCTTCACACTCCAGTCAAGAGACATCTCTTAAAAAGTTCTATCAGATGTGACTCTCTGGCACAAAACAGACAGGTGCTTCTCATTACTCTCATAATCCAGTTATTTCTATGGTCTACAAGGCCCCACGTGATCTGGCACCTGCTTGTTTCTGCACCGGTTTCCTTAACACACTCCAGCCACACTGGCATACTCAAACATTCAGTCCCACCTTCTTTCTGTTCCCATTTCCCTCTGGAGGTCTATTTGCCCAGGTAGTATCAATCCTCAGGTCTTTGCTTATAAGTCACCTCTACAATAAAACCTTCCCTGGCTCTCCTGCAAGAGTGGATTCCAAATCATCTTGCAGGCCCTGGCTGGGTGGCTCAGTTAGATCATCGTTCCAAAACGCCAAGGTTGTAGGTTCGATCCCCGTTCAGGGCACATACAAGAATCAACCAATGTATGTATAACTAAGTGGAACAACAAATTGATGTTGCTCTCTCTCCCTCTTCCTCTCTCTCGCTAAAAACCATCTGTTTATGTGTTTTACATATGTGAACTGTGCTTTCCCCACTTAAATGGCAAGTTCTATGATGGCATGGACCAAGTTTTATTAACCATGTATCCCTGGAACCTAGAAAGTGCCTGGCACATAACATATGGTCAATAACTGTGATGAATTATTGAGTGGCTTTGGCTAGCAGGCCACAAATGAGTTTCCACTTCTGAAACCAAAAGTTAGTCTCTCCTCAAATTTATAATTCCAGTACCCACTCAAATGACAACAACGTGATAAAAAAATTTTCACCTCTAAAAGGTAACTTTTTGTCCTTTAAGTTTTCCAAAAGAAACTGAATACTTGAATCACAAGCAACAAATCTTAGGAGACTCTAGGCCATAGAATTTGAGGAAACCACACATAACATTAGCAGCCTATAAGCTGCTAAATGTTCCTTATGTACACAGATGCCTAGAAACAAAAAAATAAAAACAAAGTTGGGGCCTAACTCATTGAATTTTTTTTTATATATATATATTTTATTGATTTTTTACAGAGAGGAAGGGAGAGGGATAGAGAGTTAGAAACATCGATGAGAGAGAAACATC